CAAGGGTGGTATGCACTTCCCTGTCCTATATGACAAAAATGTAAAACAATTTACTTTTGCTTAGGTATATTTTTTTATTCCAGAAGTATTTCCTTTCATTTAAGTTCAAAAATTCTTTACTGAATTTAGGAAGGTTTCAAAGACTTTGGAACAGGATATGGCTCACGGTTTGTACACCTGATATTTATTATCCCTGGCATTTATTGTTACAGAGGCAGTTAACAGGGATGTGCTCCTTCTGATCTTGAAGTCCCCTGCAATGCGGGGGGCAGAGGAAGGGCTGGGGGCGGTGGGCTCCCACTGTGGTGACAGTAGGGTACAGAGGAGCAATCTACCCTCTTTTTAAGGTCCACATCCAGTTTTAGATTCCAGCTGGAAAGGCTGATGCCAGCCCCCTGGGATAGGGACTTTTTAGGAAATAAGGCTAAGAACAGCACTCATTGTCAGTATTAGTTAGCTAGCCCCCGTGCTGTCCCTGAGAAGCTGCTACACATTATATTAGTGAGACACTCAAATATTAACTCATTTACTCCTCATAACAGATCTAGGTAGTAAATACTATTATTGGCCTCATTTTACAGATAAGGAGACTGAGGCAGACAAGCTAAGTGACTTGTCCATACAGATAGTAAGTGGTAGAGTTGGATTCAAACTTGGGTAGTTACCTTTGGGGCCTGCTCTTAATCACTACCTTGCGGCCTCTCTGGGTATATGTTCTTTTAAGTCTCTGAACTTTTCAGGTGTTCTCCTGAGTGGTAGAAGGAACCATGTTGAATTAAAAACTTTTTTTTTTTTTTTAAATTATAAGTTGCTATTTTTTCCCTTTAGTGACTACTTAGGTGGAGAAACCTCCATTAATTTGAATCCTTGTTAGACTTGCTAAGAGTCTTCATCTTCCTGCCTATCGAAGAAGAAGATAAATGCATAGGTCAAACAACCAGCCATGGCCAACATTTAAAAGAAATTATTGACTATTCATTCTTTTGACAGTGATCTGAGGGTTAATATTTGATCTCTGCCTCGGATAGTTTTCTCAAAGAAATGTGGCTTTTTTTAGCAGCTTGAGAGGCATCGTATTCACACCAATCTTTGGGAAGGGAAGTCCCTCACGCCTCCATCAGTAAAGAGAAAGGCTCATAACACTGTCCGCTGTTGAGAAAATGTGCACAAGAAAAAACAACAAAGCCTAGAAAATCGGGCAACAGGCAAAATTCTAATTGTGCTTAACAGGCACATGGCAGTACCCTGTTATTCTTCCACAAAAGACAGCGGCCCAAGGCCATTCCTCTAGCTGCTGGTGCAGACACAGCCTGGCCCAGGTGGTGTCCCTACCTGCCCCCTTTGCAGATACGCCTCTGGTTTTCCATTTGAAAACTATAAATTTTAGCATCCAGATGAACATCTAGAAGCCAGTTGCCTCTATCCTTTCCATTCACAGCTGAAGAAAACTGAGGTCGGCTTTGGAGTTTATAAACACATAGTGCAGAGGCAGGAAGAAACTGGAATGTCAGGGTGGACATGTGAGGCTTTCTGCCCCATTTCAGAACAGAAGGTTCTCTTGGGTTTAGTTTTGACTTTTCTCCTTTTTCCAAATTTCCCACGGCATTGATGTCATTAGTCCAAAAGTCAGTCACTGTTGACTTTTTTTTCTCCAGGATCCACATGGATATACCTAAAGACTAAATTAGCTGTAAGTCATCTTGAGTTCCCCCAAACATTCGTTTTCTTCCCATTTACTCTCATTTATTTCAGACTATGAAAAGAACTAACGGGTCATCCCCATGAGTTCCGGTAAACTGGAAAACCCAATTGCTCTGTTGCAATAGTGCTCCATTTATAACAAGAGCGAGCGTATACTGGGCCAGTCCTGTTCTAAGAACTTTACAGATGTAACTCATTTAACTCCCAAACAACCCTCTAAACAATGTGAGGTAAGTACTATCATGACCCCCATTATGAAGATAGGAAGCCAAGGCACAGCTAGTTATGGACAAGCCCTCGAACCCACAATCAATAATCATTGTAAGGGACCAAGAACTTCTACAATGACTGGGGTCTTCATAACCTGTTTCTGTCTCTTTGGTGCCAAAACTATTTCATTTTGGATGAAAAGTCAGAGTTCAATCACTTGGGTCACACCTTGTTGTCTTGTTCTGAGAGTCCTGTACGGTTCCAGGTCCCCAGGCATAAAGCTCCCAGCCACTCAGGAGGAGACCATGACTTTGCCACCTGCCAGTTTCTATCCACTGTGGTTTCTCAGCTCTCAAAGGGCCTGTTCCTAAAGCCAGAGTCTCACATCCACTCCCTAGTCTACTTTGTTATTTCTAATCCATTGTGTGGTAGGAAATCAAACCACTCAGCAATGGCATTCTGAATTTTCTAAAAGGCACAATGAATATCTATTGGCCTTATTTCTTCCTACTTACAATTTCATCTTGGGAAAAAACAAACAAACAAAAAAACCAGAAATCATAGCAGAGAGACCTTGTTCTGGGGTACTCCACCACCAGGAAAGGCATGGACTTTAGCAAAGCCTTTGCGGCTAAGTCATCAGAATTGTTTCCCACTCTTTCTAGGTGTTTAATTTCTGGGCAGTTACCAGGTGAGGGCCTGCTGGATAATTGAGGCATTTACTGGCAGAGTCTCATTTCATTCACATGCCCACAGGCAGAAAGGACTGTGCCCTGCCTTTGCTGAAGAACATGCCCAGAGTCACATAAAATTGACATCTGTGAAGTTTCTTTGAAGGAAGTAATTTAAAAATTTTTACCCAGAGACTCCCAGAACAGGAAGCATTTCCATGTGGCTCAGGACTGTTCTCTCTCACAAGCTGCTCAATGTGAAAGCCAAGACTGAGCAGCTGCACACACATCTCCTCTGTTTCAAGGAAGTGGGCATCAGCCCTGACCCAATCTGATCCACTACCTGGTTCCTCTTTTGGCCCAGGGTAAACGTTTCTGAGACCAACCAGCAACATGGCAAATTATGGCAAGCTGACTTGGGGGGAGGAGAGAGCGGTAGAAAGAAAGCCCTAACTGTGGGGCAAGAGACCCACGTTCTTCTAATCTCCCTTTTGATAAACTATTCTGTGACCTTGAGCAAATCATTTAATCTCTCGATGGCTCAATTTCCTCATTCGTAAAATAGGATCATACCACCTACACCACCTTTATCCGTGAGCTGCTGGATTAAATAAGGTTGGCCACAGGAAGCATTAGGAAGCACCACCTATTCCCAACAAGCCATAACAAAAGGTTCTCTTAGTCCTTCCCTGTATCTGCAGTCCCAGTCATTGAAAAGTCTGCATTTACACTGACTGCTAGGCCACGATGCTGGGTCACCATTCACTTCAGAAGAAGGAACTGAAGGGGCTTGGATCAAAAACTAGAAAGCCATGATCAGGATGTGAGAAATTCCTTCCGGGGCCAGTGGTAATAAAGTAATCCCTCACCTCACACCCCCTCACTCTATTTTTTTGGCCACTGCCCCACTCTTGGAGATAACCTACGGAGGTACAACCAGCAGGTCAGAGCTAGACATCCATACTCCGTCACTGGGTCAATGAAACCTGCAAAAAAGAATCCTTTAACCCCATAACCGCCTTCTCTCCTGGGACAGCTGACAGCTGATAGACTTAAGGTAAAAAGCCAAAGACACTCTCAACTTTAGAGACTGTTTCCAGTATTTGCCTAAAAGTGAGTCCCAAAACTTAAAGGATGTCTAAAGACTCCAAATATCAAGCTGCCAGACACTAAACGAAGGCTGTGATCTCATCGAAGCCCTAACAGGCCACCTCCACCTGCTTTTTTGCTAAGAAGTTTTGGTAAGAATGTTGTGGTTCACCTCATCAGAGATTTTTATATTTTTCAATGCAATGCCTTGGACTTTTTTGTTGTTGTAATTTCAAATGAATACTTTTTCCCGTAAGTGGCAGACAGTCATCACATTTTCCAGAAGGAGAAATGGAAACAGCAGGAAGTTAAGTCACTTTGCCCAGGGTTTGCTGTTTTTCACAGCCTCAGCAATGAGGAGCTTTGCTTCAGTGACTTAAGACAAAACATACCCCTCCAAGAGGCTCTGAATCCAGAATCATCGGAAATCTGGAGAGGGAGTCAGCTGAGCTCCTCACTCAGCTATACTTGGCCAGGTCAGTAAATGCCTTCTGGCTGCCAGTTTTCTTGTCTGTGAATTCTGGGCTAATGGAGAAACCAAAGGGAAGCTGGTTTGGGTAATCCACAGAAAATATACTACATCTCAAGAGATGAAAGGCAACTTCTAAGAGTCACAGAAAGCAGGCAAAGCTAAGTGAAGATGCTTCTCTCTCTCCTCTAGAACTCACACCTTCCCACAAATAAAACCCCTTGAAACTCACAATACTCTACAGTGTCCTGACTATGCGGTGGACGGCCACCTGTTCCAAGCCTCCAGGAGAGGCTTGTCTGGGTAATGGGCCCCACACAATTAACCCCAGCCTTAATATCCTTGGGGCCACCAACAATTCTTCAAAAAAATTGTGAGCTTCCGTCCAGCCAAAGGGCTGAAAAGAGAAGGCCGTAGACTGCAGGCCAGGATGGCCCAACAGGCAAAACTTCACCAATGCTCCCAGAAGCTTTTCCAGACGGTGGAAAGAAAATGGGGTGAAGATATCCAGGAGTGGCCAGAATGCAGCCAGAGAATATAAGAAAAAAGTACAGGTGAGATGGCTGCCTCCGTCCTAAGGCACACTCACACCTAATAGTAGGACTGGCTTTTTCTAAAAATATGTGACCGTGGCTCCTTGAGACTGTCAGGTGCGCCTCTGCCTATGTTTGAAAAGGTGTGGTCAGCACGCAAATTCTCCAGAGGTTATTTTGATATTTTAAAAATGTTAAAGGCCACCAGCAGCCAATTAAGAATTAACTCTTAGGAGTATATGAAGGGGTGTGTGCGTATGAATGAACTGGAGTGTACTGGAGAGCTGGCGTCTCCACAGCGCACGCAGAGAGGTGGGGAATAGTTACCTTGTTAGGTCGAGGAAAGAATCCACTGTCTCTTTGGGGACTGGAGGGGGCCCCGACTCCTCCAGCCCCAGGTCGCTGGATTGAAGGGTCTGCGTACCAGACCCTGGCTTGATGATGAACGCCAAAGCGACAGCGAGCGCCGAGGCGCCTAGCGTGGTGAGGCCAAAGTAGGCGATGGCGATGCCGCCCAGGCGTCCGAGAGAGCTGGCGTCCAGGGAGGCGGCGCCCGACACCAGGCTGCAGACCACCAGCGGCAGGATTATCATGCGCAGCATGCGGAGCAGCATCTCTCCAGGGAAGGCCAGATAGGTGACCTGCGTGCGATTAAGTCCGAGCCCACGTAGCGCTGCACCCAGGCCGGCGCCCGCCACCACCCCAGACACGGTGAGCAGCACCAGAGCGTGGCGCCTCAGAAAGCCAGCGAAGCGCCGCGCGCGTCCCGCCGCGGTCCCGGGAGCGCCAGGTCCCGCTGCAGGCCCAGCCTGGGCGCTGTCTAGGTAGCCGTTGGTCTCACTGCTCTTCTCCATGGCGCTGACCGCGGCTCGGAGCTGAAGGAGGCGGGGGACTTGGGCTCTAGTAAAAGACCGGATTTTCAATGACTGGCTCAGGCGTAGCAGGCGAGGTCCACTAGCTGTGCCCCGCGGGTTCTGGGAGCCGACCTACGAGAGATTCACGGCCTGGGCGCAGGAGCAGGTGCGGAGAGGGCCAGGAGAGGCGCGGGAGAGAGGCTGGAGCCTCGGCTCAGCGGATCGCGCCGCGCCCAGCCTTCCCACAACAGCCGCGGGCTGGTGATGATGCAATTAGGGAGCCGCTAGGATGGACGCTGATGGGAAGAAGGGGTCGGACTGGGCCCTTCCCCTTCACACCCACCGCCCCGCCCCCGGCAGCTCTGGCCAATCAGCGCCCGGGAGCCACCGCCTCTGTGTTCCCTGCGCCCCCGCTCCTGCCCGCCGGCGCGGGGGAGGGGCGGTCCGGCCCAGGGCACTGCCCCAGGCAGTGGTGCGCAGGTGGAGCCCGCTAATCCCCACGCCCGCAGCCGCCTCTTGGCCACTCGGATCGGGGCCCGCTCCGGGCGACCGCAAGGAGGAGCGGCCTGATAGTCAACCCGGGCTCGTTGTCACCTGCTGGGGCCTCTCGGGCCGGCCGAGGTCTGGGCCCTCGGGATCAGAGGGCCCAGGAGAATGTGGAACGCGGCTGCGTTCCTAGTCCTGGGGATTGGGGGAGGGGAGGGGTTTCCTCCAGGGTAATTGTTTCCCCACCCCGCCCCCGCACCACCCACGGTCACCCCGAGAACTCGCCGGCCTCCCTTGAGAAGTGGCCACGCGCAGTGAGGGAGCCCAGGGTCGTCCTCTTGCCACGTCTTCCTTCTGCGGAAAATCCGTTCCTGCCATGAAGTCCTGTGGGTTGCATGCAGTAGAGCACGCCGGGATGCCCGGCGCAGGCCCTGGCCCTGAGACAAAGAATGGATGGATGGAAGGACCAAAAGCCTTATCACACGCTCTTTAAAGGCTCTGACAAAGCTTCACCCCTAAGTGAAACGGGTGAAACGGCACCAAACCCAGCTCCCGGCCTTGCTCACGCGCGCTCTGAAGAGCTTGGCTTGGGTCTTCCCACCTACCCCCGTCAGCTGTCGGCGGTAAAGACTCAAAACTCTTCTAGTAGAAACAGCTTTCATGCCACTGCTTCCACTTGGGTTTCCACCATGTAACCTCAGCTGAAACATACAAGCCACGAGATTTTAACCTCTCCCATCCCCCATGCTTCTCATGAAAACAGTGCACACAGCTGTTTAGTCAGCCTGTCAAGATGGTTCCTTACTGTTCACCTTCAATTCATTTTCTTTTTATTTCAACTTTCATTTAATATTTGCTCTGGTCACAGCAGATACAAGAGGAACCTCTGTAGAGTCGTTTTGCTCTGTCACATTTATTAGATTTTTATATATTCTCATTCTGCTCCTGAAAAGAATGGGCCTTTTAAGACGTTTGTGACAGGGAAGTCTTCTACATGTGGCTAACCTGAATTAAGGAGGAATAGAATTTATTATAGATCTCTTAATGAAAAGAAGTCATCTTAAAACGTCATGACACACCAAAAAAAAGTCATGACAGATATTTGTGCAAATCAAAATGCCTTCCTAAGAAACTTTAATAAGGAGCTGTCCAAATTTTGAGACAGTGAAGATTTCCTTGTTTGAAGCCAGCCAGCTAGTCAGTCAGTCAGCCATTTACTGGAGCTTTTAGGAGTTTTTGAGGGAGGAAGCGGGTACATGTCAGAGCTGTACATATTTTCATCTAGTTTTGCAGAACGTAGTTTATTTCCCTGTGTGCCCTGAAGAAAGAGGAAATTCTAGAAACAAACTCTGTTTAATCAACCAGCCCCTCCCTTTGTTTTTATGCAAAGGACTCTCAAATCATGCTCCAGTTGTGAATTTCCAGTTGCCTGCTTTACATCTTCACCTGGATATCCCACAAGCATCCCAACTCAAAAAGTCCAAAATCAAACTCATGGTTGCCTTCCTCAAGCCTGCTCATCCTTCTGACTCCCCTGTTTCTGCTACCAGCATCATTGACCACCAGTCACTTCTGCTTGAAACCTCAAAGTGAACTTGGATTCTTCCTTTTCTAGTGTTTCCTCTCATCTGATCAATTGCCAAGACCCACAGACACTCTTTTCAGATCTACCTCTCCCATCCATTCCCATTGCTACCATACTTGGCTCAGTTCTTATTTCCTAACATCTTATTCTGACTATGTAATTATTCTTCTGATTAGTCTTCCCACCTCCAATACTCCCCCTTGTTCCAGCTTTCTTATATTTTGCTTTGCCACAGGCCAATTTTCCAAATAAATAATATAGGATTAGATTCAGCTTCCATCCAGAAGGAAAAAGAGAAGAAACAATTCCCTCTCCCTTCAAGAACACTTCCTAAAAGTTGCACATACTATTTCCTTCATATTTTATTAAGCAGAATTTAGTCACATCTAATAGCAAGAGATGTTAAGAAATGTAATTTCAGTTAAAAATTAGGGCTTATTTTACTAAGGAAGCGGGAAAGAG